ATATCATTATAAAGACCAAATCAGGTTTGAAAGTAAGTTTTTCTTTTCTTTCCTTTCTTTCTTTCTTTTCTTTTCTTTTTTTTCTTTTTTTTTTTTTTTTGCTATAAGGTGTATGTGCTCTCCCCCCCAGTCAGGAGAGACAGAGACATAAAGCAAGAAATCACCCCCCAGGAGGAGGGCCACGTTGCAATCCCTTCTCCTCCATTCTCCTCTTGGGTTCTTGGGCACGCACACACACGCACCTGGTGTGAGTTTAAGTCCCCGGGTTTGGGACCCAAACTGTGATTGACTACATGGGAGTCCAGCAACATAGCCTTTATGCCAACTGCTAGTCCCGAAAGTAAATATTTCTTTAGAATTAAAAAAAAAAAAAAAAAAAAAAAAGACAACAAATAAAAAAAGAAATTTGCCACAGGCACATGTGCTTGCCAGAGAGGGACAGAGAGAAGGGGAGAGGTACAAAGAGCTCTTCAGTGGGTACATGCCATAGTCCTGGCTCTGTTTCCTCATCCTGTTGGGATTTTGGGTGCACATGCACACACGTATGCGCGCGCACACACACACACAACTTGTTTTTCAAACTATTGGTCCATACTTAACTAGTATGTTACAGGATTTGAACTGTAGGCTCAGTAATGTGAGATCCAGCTCCCTTAATCTTCAGGCCATGGAGCTGTCCCTAAAATACTTAAAAAGATTTTTGGGGCTGGCAGGTGGCATGGTGGTTAAGGATGCTGGACTCTCATATGGCTGACTGTGGTTCAAGCCCCAGACCTAGTGGTTTACTTTCTTACTTCCTCTCTCTTTTTTTTTTTCTCTCTCTCTGGTCAAATTTAAGTAAATAAATAAATAAATAAATAAATAAATAAAGTTAAATAAAATAATTCTTTTAAAAAAATTTTGGTAGAAGGTGTAATGTACTTTTCAGAGACAGAGCAACAAAGAGAGGGAAAGGTAAGAGGAGAAAAGCATCTCCCAGTGCGGCAATCCCTTCTCCTCCAATTTTCTACCTCTTCTGGATTCGATGCACATGTGCCTGGTGTGTTTTTCAGGACACCATCAGGATTTGAACTGCACAGTTGGTCATGTGGGATCTGGCTACCTTGGTTAGCCTGATATTGAAGTGTTTTGTGATTTCTTTCTTTTTTAAAAATAATTATCCACTTTATTTTATTTTATTTATTATTATTTTTTAATTTCATCAGAGAGAAAAGGGAAAGTAAGAAAGGAAGCTACCAGATCCGGGATTCAAACTATGGTCGGCCATGTGGGAGTCCAGCACCCTTAACCACCATACCACCTGCCAGCCCCTCTTTTTTTCTTTTTTCTTGCCAGAGAATGTGTGTACTTGCCAGAGAGAGAGAATGCTCTCCTCAGTTGATCACGCCACAATCCTTCTTGTTCCACTTCACCATCCTGTTCAGATTTGGGGCATGCACGCATACGTGCCTGGCATGATTTTCAAGATGCCAGAGCTGGGATTCAAACTGTGGTCAGTCATGTGGGATCTTGCTGTCTATGCCCTGTGCTTAATCAGTAAGTTACAGGGCCAGCTCCATGCTAACCATTACTAAGTGTATGGTTCAGTAATGTTAAATATACTCATATTATTGCGCAACACATCTCCAGAAATTTTCATTTTGCAAAACTGAAATTCTGTGCTCATTGTTATGGTCATCATTATTATTTTGAGAGGTTTTTGCTATAGGGCTCATGCACTCACCAGAGATACAGAGAGAGAAGGTGAGAAATCACTCTTGGGGCACGGCCACGTCATAATCCCATCTCCTCCATTCTCCTCTTTGGTCATGCACTCGGTGTGAATTTCAAGAGGACAGGACTTGAGCTGTAGTCGGCAATGTGCAAGGTTTTTTGTTTCTGTTTCTGTTCAAGGTTTTTGCCATAGGGTGTGTATGCTTGCCTGAGAGAGACAGAGAGAGGGAAAGTGAGACACCACCCCTCAGGGGAGATGGCCACACTGTAATTCCTTCTAATCTATTCTTCTCTTGGGATTTTGGGCATGCACACACACACACACACACCGGTATGCTTTTCAAGCCACAGGGTCTGGGGCTTGAATCAGGGTTGGCCATGTGGGAGTCAGGCACCTTAACCACCACACTACCTGCTGACTCCACTTTTGCAAGTTTTACTTAAAAAAAAAAAAAATTCGATGCAAGAGATGGTGTTCCCATCTGAAATGTAGATCACTTCCTTTTAGAGAGTAATGATGCCATTAATTGTCATCATTCATGCTGGCATGCATCAGGCACTGACAGATGACAGGCAGAATTCTTTTTTGGAGAGGTTTTTCTACAGGGTGTGTGCGCTCACCAGGAAGACAGACAGAGACAGAGAGACAGTGAGAAATCACCCCCTGGGGGGATGGCCACACCGCAATCCCTTCTCCTCCATTCTCCTCTTGGGATCTTGGGCACGCATGCACACGCACCCGGCATGAGTTTAAGCCACCGGGTCCAGGACTCGAACCATGGTCGACTACATGGGAGTCCAGCGACATAGCCATTATGCTAACAGCTGGTCCCACGACAGAGAGAATTCTAAGTACCCCAATTGTATCAAGTTACTTAGTCCTTACCATGCAACTATGAGTTGGAACTATCATTTTCCCATTTTACAGATGAGGATACCAGGGCTCGAAAAGTTTTGGTTTTACATATGAAGGTGCCATGTAAGGTATCTTTGGAAAAAAATATATTCTACTAATAACAAATTTTTGCAAAAGCCTGAATCAGGGGCTGGCAGGTGGTATGGTGATTAAGGCGCTGGACTCCCACATGGCCAACCATGGTTTGAGTCCCAGACGTGGTGACTTGCTTCCTCACTCTCTCTGTCGCTCTTATTGCAGAGAACAGACCTCTTGAGGAGCCACGCGCCACACAGAGAGTAGAACTCAGGTCTAGCCTGTCGGCACTCCCAGCAGAGCTCACACGCTCAAGTTCGGACCCCGACTTGTGGAAGTTTCAGGGGTCACAGATGTTGCAGACCAAGGAAACCTGAAGAATGGCAAAACAACAGCAAAACAGTTGCAATCCAGATTGTAACACACAAAGGGGAACAGAAACCCTTATTTACACCTATTTACAAAAGTGGAGTAGAAACACTTATTTACGCCTCCTTACAAAGGTGGAGTAGAAACACTTCCAGCTGTAAGCAGCAGAAAGGATCCATATCCCTCTGTCTCCCTCTGGTCAAATCGATGAATAATAAATCAATAAAAGTAAATAAGATGATTATGTAACAAAAAGAAAGAAGAAGAATCAAAGAAAGAAAGAAAAAGCCTGAATCAGTCCACTCTTTATTTTACACGTGGGGAATTAACGCCCAGAGAGAGGGGCAGTGCAGGAGGACGGGGCGCGGGGCTAGATCAGGCGATGGCGATTGCAGCGGCGGTGGTGGTGGCGGCAGCGGCGGTAAAGGCATAGTTTCTGGCACTACCGGGAAAATAGGGTGCAAGTCCAGAAGCTATTTCCCCACACCACTTGATGAACAACGGATTTGAAGGCATCTCCAGGTTCGAACAAACGGACAGTGCCAGGATCCGACACTGGTTTTGTGCTGGAGACCCTTCCCTGCTAGGTATGGAGACGAACACTGGAATCTAATCCGAGCCATCCCCAGAGCCCGAATGCAAGCATCTGCAGTACCAGCACCACCTGCCCGAGACCGTTCTAAGACTGCTTTGGGTGTGACCCCCGACAGAGTCGCTGAGTTTGGAGGAGAGCTGCATGAAGATGGAGGGGAACTCTTCGGCACTTCTTGCAATGGGGCTCTGAGTCATGCCCGCAAGTCTGCCGTTAGTGACTGCCTCAAGTCAAAGATATACCAAGAGGAAGGCAGAATTCGAAGAGCGAAACGTGAGAAAGAAGCAGAGGCCCTGAGCGCATCGCTTCAGTGCAACAGTACTGCAGGCAGAGACAGTCGGTGCCGGCCAGGACTTCGTGAACGCGCGCCGGGAGGAGCCGATCGCTGGCAGTCCGTGCTTTCCTGTCTTGCCGTGTGAAGAACGGAGGCTCCATTCCTGTCAGACCGACTGAGGACAGCACAGCTGCCTGGTGGACGCGAGGATGAGCATCGACTCCTCAGCGCACAACGTTGACAAGCAGGTCGCCGTCGAGATCAAGATAAACCACGCGGAGCGGTAAAGTTGTGTTAGTCGTGGAAACACACACGCACAAACCAGAGAGAGACCATTTGGTCAATATCACACTGGTATTTTTTCACTCTTTTCCTCTCAACCTAATTTCGCTGGGGGCCAATGGACAATATGGATATACAAGAAATAAATCATTCCAGAAGGGGCCAAGATGCTAAGCTGGGGGCCATGTGACTGAGTGCCATGGGGGGACTGTGCTAATTCCACCGAGGTGTGGCCTGGGAAGTGTGGTCTGAGAAGGTGACATGTGAGTCGTGACCCCACGATCCGACAAGTGAGCCAGTCTATGGAAGGAGAGCAGAGGGACCCTCCTAGGGCGGCAAGGGCCCGAGGCAGGAATACTTCATAGGTGATAGAGCAGCCTCCTGGCCCAGTGCTCCCTCACCACTTGCCGGCTCACTAGGTGGATAGTGACCCTGCGTCCTGGGCCTCCCTCCAGCTCAGCCCTAAGGTGTCAGCTACCTAAGAAGGCAGCAGCTCTCGGAGGATCCCGGAAGTCGGAGCCTGACCAGGATCTGACCAGCCTGCTTCCTGTCTGGCAGGGGATGAGCAGACATCTCCCTGCCATCTCTCCCCAGGCATCGGCCCTGGCTCCAAATCTCCATGGCAACCCCTACACAATCCTGAACCAAAGGAGTAGGATCTGGAGTGGGGAGACCACAGAGCCCAGTGAAGAGGCCAGAGGAGCTGGTGGGCCTGCCTCCGTCTCTCTGGTGTCCTGCCACCTTCTCTTCTAGCCAGGTCCCCATTTCCCCCCGTCTCTCCAAAGACCTGCTGCTGGAGACTCTGTAGGTCTGCCGACTGCTGGGCACGGCAGATCCTCATGAAGGCTTTTCTTCTGCAGCTGCCCCAGAGGCTGCTCCTGCTGGGGGCGGCCACCCTGACTGTGTCTGCCCTGGAGACAGGTGAGTATGCCTTGGGCACCCACTTGACTGGGGTGTCCAGTGGACCCTTAGAGACCGTGTTCCCAAATCAGCCTCAGTCTGCTGGGTTGAGACCCTTTGAGGGGGAGAGGCTGAAAAAGTCTGTCTAGATCTTGCTCGGTACCCTCAAATTCACTCCAAATCCCTCCAGAAGGCTGGAGCTCTGGTCATCCTGAAGCAGGAGTCTGGGAGTGGGTGTGCTCAGGACTGGCAATGGGAAATACTGTGGGCTTCGGAGTCAGGCCACCCTGCATTCACACATTCCTCGGGCTGCTTCCTCTACTGCAGCCTTGAGACCAACTACATCTCAATTTCTTCAGTGACAGTAAAATTAGAGTCACATTAGGCCCTTTCCATTTAAGGGACTGTTTTTTTTTTTTCTGCTGTAGAGCATAAAAATGAGTCTCTCTCTCTCTCTCTCTCACACACACACACAGAAACAGAGAGGGAAAGTGAGAAATCATCCCCCAGAAGGGATGGCCACGTTGCAATCCTGTCTCTTCCATTCTCCTCTCGGGATTTTAGGCACGCATGCACACATGCACCTGGTGTGATTTTTCAAGCTGCCAGGTAAACACTTGAGCTGTGCGGTCAGCCATATAGGACCCAGTCACCCCTTAATCACCATACCTCCTGGCTGGGGGGCTCCTATTTATTATAGATAGATGATAGATATTTTCAAATGATTATTTATTTAGTTGTATTTGTAATTATTATTATTTAATTTGCTATAGGGCACATGCACTCACCAGGTAAAGACAGAAAAAGAGAAAGTGAGAAAGCAAGCCTCCAGGTCTGGCACTCAAACCACGGTTGATCATGTAGGAGTACGGCACCCCAACTACCAAGCCACCTGCTGGCCCCTATTTATATATATTTTTTTGATTTGCTATGGAGTGCATGTGCTCACCAGAGAGAGACATAGAAGGAAAGAGAGGAAGCACTCCCCATGGGGATGGCCCCACCACTTCTCCATTCTTCTCTCAAAAATGAATGAGAAGGGGCCGGCAGTTAGCATGATGGCTATGTCTCTGGACTCCCACGTAGTCGACCATGGTTCGAGTCCCAGACCCGGTGGCTTAAACTCACGCCAGGCGCATGTGCATACGTGCCCAAGATCCTGAGAGGAGAATGGAGGAGAAGGGATTGCGGTGTG